CACACACAGGCAGACACACACACACACACACACACACACACACACACACACACACACACACACACACACACACACCCTGGATGACCTAGGCAAAACAAGATGAGAAAATCTTTGTCAGTCTGATCTGTGGTGAGGAAACATCTGTTTTCAGGGGCCCCAGGCTGGGAGTGAATGTTTTAGTAGCTACAGCCAAGAGACCTGAGTCCTGGGAACCTCTCAAAAGAGTCTTTGGGACAGACACCTATCAAGGGAACATGTCTTGACTGGGTGCCTCCAAATACTGCTGTCAGTTGGGAACATGTTTTAGAAGGATCTACAGTATAAAATTGTGGTTAAGCAACATGGGAATGATGGCATAATTGTGTCTTATCAGCATAGATACATTGCATTCAAATGTTTCCTCTTTATAGGCACTTTTTGGTTCCTGAGAATGTTCAAGGAATAAGGGCTATTAACTCACCCAAATATGGACAATGGCAAACTGGAGATTTAGGAAAGAGTGATAAGACACTCAGGAGTAAGCTGGGGGCTGGAGGGGGATTGACTTCCTACTGCCTGTCCTTCGGTACTTAACTGCATTTCACACCTAATGCGTGTGTTCTCTATAAAAAGAAAATTAAAGTTTTAATATACAGAATAAGTATAATTTCAGCTCAAAAAAAAATCAGACAGAACAAGGAAACTACAAGGAAATTTAGATTATATTCAACTCCCTGTAATGAAACTGTCTCAGCCACGAACTTGAGATATTTTCTACATCTTCCTCAACAAAGAATAATAATTGGAGCCTTTTGAATGACTATAAGTTATGACTTGACTGATCAGGAGAAGGCCAGGGTTGGTTATGATGCTGCTGCAGTCATCCACAGGTCAGGCTCAAGTTGGTGAAGTGGTCTCTACCCATATGCATTTTCTATCTCCCAATTTCTATCCTTTACTCAGCCGTAGTGAAATGTGAGCATATTGCCCTGGGCGATGGCTGGGTTTCGGCATGGGTCACCATCACATATTGGCGTCTGCCCATCAGCTAGCTCTTCTTAGTTCGGTACCATCTGCATGTCTTAAGCATCTGAAATCTCTGGCCCCTCAATTTTTGGTTAAGCTATGTGCTGGGGTAAGAGTGGGCCAGGAGTGGCTGCATCCAATCTATTCCTTCCTTTGATAGAGTTCCAAGGGAGGCAGTGTACATGACTCCACTTGGATCTTGAAGTGATAATGCCCTTCAAAGGCACCATGACAAACGACTATAGGAAGCAATAATTCCTTCTTTGATCAGCCTCTGGCTTCCCTCTGACCTTGACAACACCGTTGTGTGTCATATTTTCATGTTGGGGATTTTCTGGCTCAATTGAGTGTCACAGTGACATAGAGAACAAACAAAGCGCCATTGGGCTTACAGGAAGCCGGGCTTTAATGCCACTTGGGAAGCAGAACACATTGAGGAGGTTCCATTTGCACAGATTCTGAGGGGCAGGTGGCATTCCACTGACTGGAAGGGAAGAGTGTCCTCAGAGCAGGGCACGCTGTGTGAGGACGTACTTGTCTGAACTTCAGACTTCATGTGCCATGTGGAAGGTGATTACACCACTAATCCAAGAAGCTACTGTGTAGCCAAGTGGCACACTGCGTGGTCCAGGGACATTTCTACACACAGCTGCCCACGGGCACTGAGCTCAGGAGATCAGGGCCAAGACACACACTCCGGGTTTGGGGGTGAACATCCTTCACTCCTATCCCACACGGTGTGCGCAAGGCGAAAGCAGGCCAGAAACGAAGGTGTCTACGGCCGTGGCTTGCATTCTTCCTCCTGAACCTGACCTGCAACTCCAGAGGCTTCTGATGGAAAATTCTACTTTGGCTGGGTGTCGTGGCATAAGCTGATCCTGGCACTCGGAAGGTGGAAGAAGATTTATGAGTTTGAGGCCTGCTTCAGTCACAGAGGGAGATCTTGTCTGAAAAAAAAAAAAAAAGGAAAGGAAAGAATAGGAAGGAAAGAAGAGAGGAGGAGGAAACTGTGGTTTGAGCCTGGGCTCACTTAGCAGCATTCTGAGTGGTCTGGAGCCTGCTGGCCTTCTGTCTGTTTCCTAGGGCCTGAACACTACAGCTCCAACCAGAGGATCTAACCCGACTGGGCCTATGGCATCGAGAAGGCCATCATCCACCCTAGTCCTAACTGGCCAGAGCTCGGGTCATCTATTCCTAGGAAACTGTCAGCTCACCCCACGCCTCTCTCAGTTCTGAGGATCTCAGTTATTGAAGACACAGCCACTCAGACACCTGACAGGATGACAGGCTTACTGAGGAGAGAGGCAGCCCAGAGCCAAGCTCCTCCCAGGTACACGGACAGTCAACTAAAACTCTCTTGACTTTGTCGAATCACATGATACTTTCTTTGAGGGGCTGCTGTATATACTGGAGACATGCAAAGTAACTCCCAGGGCAGAAGAATGAAGATCTTCATTGTTTCATTTTATCCTGTCAGGGGACCTATGATGTCACCATTACCATCCTTGACAAAAAAAAAAAAAAAAAGAAAGCCCAGCAGTAAAATATCTGTTTCTTCAATTTCTCAGGAAAAACAAACAAGCAAACACCAAACAAGAAATAAACAAGAACAACAAACCCCCATACATTTGTTCTGGTTTTTTTTTTTAAGTCCTATCGTGTCCATTCTACATGTATAACTCTTAGTCTTCCTAGCAACCATGAGGCAGTGTCTGAATACTATGGAGGATGGGAAAAAGGATTCATGAAGAACCCTGAGGCTCCCAGAGGCTAGTTAAGCTGATGAGGATCACAGCCGGTCAGTGCTAACGTAGAGATCTGCCTGGAAATCCCAGGCATTCTACCTATCCTGGGTTCCACAGAACACCCTATCTTTAGGTCTTAGGAACTACAGGAGTCTCTGTGGTGCCTGGTTCCTATACCCACTCCCCACCGTGTCCACTCTGAGATCCTTCGTTTGAACAGTCCATCCACAGATCCCCCTCTCTTCCCTCCTCTTCCCTTGGCAATACAACCAAACCTGGAAATTCTCAAGTAGAGGAAATTTCTTGCTTGGGGAGCATCTGGCAATGTCTGGGGTACCCCAGTGGGGAGGAAAACATGGGCATCACTGGGGGTACATATCAGAGATACGGCAGAGCATCTACACGGCACAGAATAGCACCCACAGCAAGAAATTATTGCATCTCAACCAGTCATATTTGTGCAGAGAGTGGGAATCCCCACATGACATGCCCGTAGAAAGCTGTGTCTCCTTTCTTAAGCCAGCAATGCGTATTTTGCCAATGTTTTTTCCTTCTACCACAATAAGGGTCTGTCATTCAGAGATGGAGAGCGAAATCAAGGCCCAGAGGAAAAAGATGACTGTCCAAGGTCTCCCACATAGCCTTGATAGAGAAAGAAATGCTACTCCTGCCCGCCCCCCAGCCCCAAGCTGAGACGCTTCCTACCTCCCCATGCTTTGCTCTCCTCACATCAGCTCGGCTCGAAGCCTTTTCTGACTCACTGATTCAACAAAATGTGGTCTGGAACTACTCACTGACACAGACCTGCTTGTCACCCCTTCTAGTACAGAACCAGCAGCCATGTAGACTGAGGCAGGCAGCCGCTACTTAGGGCTTCGGTCTGCCGAGGCAGATCCATGCCTATGGCAGAGGCAGAGGTGCGCTCTCTCTCTCTCTCTCTCTCTCTCT